TTTTGTCCACTTGGACTCTGCCAAAAATAAATTGTTTTCCAATAATGATATTTCGATTTTTCAACTTTGTGTAATAGTTATTAAAAAAATGGTGGTTATTGTCATGCTATTTGCTAATACTAAAATAACAATTCAGAAAAAATACTTGATAAATCTACATCCATTTTAATTTCTTAGTTCTATAAATTATGAAAAGGAGGGTGAAGAAACTGAGAAGATCGTTAAGGAGGAAGCTGGTGTGGAGGTTGAAGAAGCTAGTGGTAGAATTGAGATAGAGGTCGGGGAGGAAGCTGGTATGGAGGTTGGCAAAGAAGCTGGTGGTGGAATCGAGACAGAGGTCGAGGAGGAAGCTGATGTAAAGGTCGACGGATGAGGTAATTTTTTTATAAGTATTTTTGTTTTTTTAAAAATTCAAATTGGCAATAATATTAATAATGTGCTTGAGCTGTCTTTAGTGTCTGAGTTTGAAGCAACATAGGCTTATCAATATTGGTACTTTGAACGACCTTTTCATAGCACATAAGACAGGTTTTGGTATATATTTTTCAAGTTTTAATTTTGTATTCTTCAAAGAATGCTGAAATTCTTTTATTGTTGAATCACGATAAATCGATCGTTAGAGTTTGGTGATGATAAAGTTGTTATTTAAATAATGAAATTGTAAATGCTGATATTCCAGAGAATAGAATTGATATTATTAATGTATGTCGAACCTCAATCGGACTAATTAATAATAATTATTTAGTTAATTAGTGAATCATAATATAATAAATGATATATTTATATATACATATATATTTGTTAAAGTTCTTACAAATTTTTTTCTAAATTAGTGTAAGACCAATCTTCTATAATTAAACTCATGAAAACCAATAATGGAATTGATAATGTGTTGTTATAATATACAGTGTCATAATCCTTAAAATTGGTTGATTTAATTCTTTTCCTCATAAATAAAATAAATGCAGCCGAAGAAATACAATTTAAAGCCATCCATATATAACCAAAATCAATTGAAGAAAATGTATTTAATTTTACTGTATTGACTGAATCGGATGAAGCTGCTATTATTGAAGAAAATACCTATTTGTAGTAATCAATATAATTATATTAATATTAGATATATTTAAAATTAAAGAATAAATAAATAAATATATATAAATTATTATACCATCAATAGAAAACTTGTCATCATTAATCTTGTCACTGAGCCCCCAAACCATAATACTTCACC